CTGCCTATGCAGGGGGTCAGACTCGATGATCTATTGAGGTCTCTTCTGACCCTAACATCTATGAATCTATAGCGCAGTGATTCTCAACCCAGGTGCCACAGTACTCAGGGGTGCCATGAGATCCTTTTAACAGCACCACAAAATATCACCTACATGTGAGCCAGAGATTTCACATAGGAATCTAGAGTGCCAGAAACATTATGACCTACCAGGGTCTTCCCAGAATGAATTGTTCTATTATTTTTCAATAGTCAAGAAAGGAGTGAAAGCTGAGAGCTGGCATTATTCGGGAGGAGGGGGATAAGTCTAAGAAGGGGGTGCCTTGAAACTGAAAACGTTGAGCACTACTAATGCAGAGGAACTTCAGGGAGTGTATATGTACAGCTGACTGCGATCACACCAATGCTGTTGTCTCTCTGTGCACCCCACCCTCCTCTCAAACAGGGACCACACCTCTTCCCCTACAGATCCAGAAACCCTGCGTGCACAGGACAGGGGAAGGAGAGCATCCCCTCGACGAGACAGGAGAAAACTCCAGGAGCCAGCAAAGGACCTGAGTTTGAAAAGACCACTGCAGCCCCAGGCAACCGGCTGTACTGGCAAAGCAAACGCTTCAGCTCCAGCAACAACCTCCTCTCACAAAGCCACCCCAGAGGCACCAGCAAAACCCTGCCCTTGCTCCCAGGATGCCAGAGGACGGAGAATGAAGTGAGGACTCCCCTTGGCATCCCCTTATCCAAACTGTCGCAGACCAAGCACCTCAAGAACAGGGCAGGGGGAGGCCCATGGGCTGCCACTGACCCCAAGCGGAAGCCCGAAGGGACTAGGAGCCACAAGGACAAGTAGGTATCATTGAGTGGACCATCTAATGCAAGTATTTCAAAACCTGGCACTGGGGGCACAGCCTGCAGAGGGGTGCCGCGTTACATGGGGGAGGGGAACCTGTTTCCATTTACCTGGTCAGTGCACCAGTACCATGTGGCCAAGACAGACAGCCCAAACGTCATGCCGGTCCAGGGCAGATCCCCAGAGACCGGATCTCGGAAGAGGTGCATGGCATCAGCTCTGGGCAGGTGGCATGTGGTGTTGGGGATGATCTTGGCTGGGACTGCCTTTAGATAAGCTTCTTCTAGGTTCTGGTACCCCCCGATCTCACCGAACGCTGGAAGGGAACAAAAGGAGGGAGGCTGATAAGGGCAAACTGAAATGCGGTTACTGAGAAGATCAGCTGAAAACCATCACGAATGGCCCCTTGAGAACATGCCCTCCCTCCCTGCTCTGCTTCCCTGAGAGGGCAGAACCAGTACAACGCCCTCTTGTCAGATTGCACCATATTCTTATTTAAAAGAGAAGCTCTTCCAGGACCACTTTGCACAGCTGGTCCTATTAGACTGCTGCTATCTCTCAGGATGTACCCCATGTCCCAGGGGCTCCTGGGAATGACCCCTTTTCTGCTTCTGTACTGTAAAAAGCATTGCTTATATTAAAGCACAAAGGTCCTCGGGGAGTTGGGGCAGCCCTGAGGAAGCATAAGGGGCAGGTGATGGAGGGAGCTGGCGTGACCTGTGACAGGCTGAGATGCTGCTGGCTCTGGGGCAGAACGTCTTTCCTGGGCCCCATCACTATAGTTGGGCAGCTGCAAACAAGCGCAATAACAACCCACATCCTCAGGCTTTATGGGAAGTGGCATCAGGCCCGTGAAAATGTTGCAAGCCCTACAGCTCATTACGTGCCACAGGCAGGCAAGACCAAGTCAGCCTGGCCGTATAAACAGGAAAGCACGCTCAAGCACTCTGTTCCCATTGCTGCCCACCTGCTCCACACCTCTCCCACAGTGAGACCTGCTGTGGCAGCTACCTTGCAGCTTTACAGCTGCTAAGAGCTGTACACTGTACTGCCCTGTGGCACTGCATGTGATGCTGCCAGGTACCCAGGCTCAGGTCTCTTCTTTGTGCTGGAAAGGAAAGGGCAGGATGGACACTGGATGCTGCTTGCAGTTGCACCAGTGCAGCTCCATTAAAAGCTGGGGAGTTTGGCTAGTGTAACTGGGAGGAGAATCTGGCCCCAGATCCTCTGGGAAGGCAACACACCTGGTTTCCAGAGGAAGGGAAGAAAATACTGGTCACCTGCCCCTCTGTCTCCCCCAACCTTTTCTGCATAGCTGATCTGCACACGTGGCTGCCTGGCCTGGCAGCTTTCAGCCTGGGCATGGCAGGGGTGTTGGCACCACATACTCACCATGAGCCATTACCAGAGGGGAGGAGGGTGCCAGAGTGGAGGGGAAGAGTGGGCTGGGTGAAGGAAGCAACCCCGTTATCAAGGGCTGGGCCAAGCCCAAGCCCAGACATGCAAGAAGGGCGGGTTCCAGCACAGCCGGGTGTGCTGTGGGTTGAATCCACATGAATGCGCTGGGTGGGGTGGGGAAGCCCCTGGGCTTTGCCTCTCAGGCTTTTCCTCTGCTCCTTGGTTCTGCTGCTCAGCAAGAATCAGAGCTGGGCCTGGAGCTGGCCCCAGCTCTGCTCCAAGTCTGGGAGCTTTGGTGTGACCTCGGGTCTTTGGCTGCTGGGCAAGTGCTGCACAGGCATTTCCCCTCTTTTGTCTGGAGCCCCTCCTGTGCCATCTAAGGAGTCCCCTCTGTGAGACTGGCCATCACTGGGATGGTGTCTACTTGGGCACTGTTCTTAAGTGTCCATCCAAAATGCATGGAGTAGCAGACAGCCCCAGGTAGCCCCAAAAATCCCAGTGCCAAGTGAACTGGTTACCAGCATGTGATCCTCTGGCCCACAGCTGATCTTGAGAGTGAGATGAAGGGCCTGGCATCTGCTGGGGCTGCCCAGGTAAGTACGCAGCTCCAGGGTGCTGACACTTTGGCTCAGAAGAGCACTCAGCCTGGGCTCTACGAGTTCCCGGCCTGGTGCTCTCAGTTACTGAGAGCGTCACCCTCAGGTAACATGACAGCCATGAGCACAGGCCTTCTCCTCTGCACTCCCTAGGGTCTCCTGCGGCATGGGGATCTTTGAATGGGCTTCACCCTGTGAGGTGGACCTGCACCAAACCTCAGATGTGAAGACCCTAGAGCTGTGGGGTGCTCAAAAGGCAAAGTTGAAGTTTGCCAGTGGCGTCTTTCTTTGCAAGAGACCAAGGCAAATTCCCCAAAGCAGGGATAGGGAGACCAGAGTCCTGACCTCCATCTGGGGCCTCATTACTGTCTCTTTTGTAAGATCTCACCCCCCAAATAAGCATGATTCTTCCCCAGAGGCCTCCCTGGACCCCTTCCCTTTCAGTCCCCCCACCATGTAACCAACTTCCAGCTTTGTGATCAATGATCATCATCTGTCCAATGTCATCCCAGGGGGACGTGTTCAGGGATGGGGACTTCAGCCATCTCACATGCAGCTGCAATGTGCCACTCTGAAAACAGGCTCATCTTATTTCAGACAGAACCTGGATTTGCAATCTCACCCTGAACCCATGCCAGGAGCACTGGCCACCTTCCCTGCACGGCTGGTAGAGGCACACCTGATCCCTGGGTTCGCACAGGTGTTGAGCACTCTAATAGTGGAGGGGCAGCTAGCGAATGCTGAATCATGAGAGGTAGCACATAGATGTATTTAGGTTATTGGGGCCTGCAGGGGATCCAAGGGCATGGTTTTGCAAGTGCTGACACCTGCCTTTGCAACCAGGGGCAGGCTGGGTAAGAAGAACAGCTGCAGGTAAGGAGGCTGTGGAGTCCTTGGCCCCTGGCTCCCCCACCCATGCTAGCAAGTGCCCCCAGGTGCATGTCAGGGTGGCAAATGCCAAAAGTGCTAAATGATCCCAACGTGCCATGGTAACCGAGCCACAACAAGGGCGTGGGCACGACAGCACGTTTGTTCTCACCTGCGGGCAGAGGCAAGCTCCATCCCAGCCAGTGCCGAGGGGCTGAGCAGGCCTGGCACACGTGAGCCAGCACTGGCGCTGCCGAGAGCAATCCCAGAGCCGAGCCCTGGCTGTCTCCTCCTGGACTGCTATGGCTCTTACATAGTGCGTCATGGCAGAGGTGGCTGTGAGGGTAAGCAAATCAGGTCCATAGCCCAAAGAGGTGCACCAGATCCTCAGCCTCTCCTGAGACAAAGGATCCCGGTGTGGAGCATTTGTGTCACGTCCCAATGGGACTGAACCTCTAGCTTCAGAACAAAGAGCAGGCACCTCTCCCATGGCAGTAGCCCTGGACTCACCCCCCTGGCATGATCTAGTCGCTAGAGAGAAGCAAAGAGCTACAGTACATGCAGGGGTTGCCTTAGATGAGTATTAGCTTTACACAGGCCTTCCTGCTGTTCCTCCTCCATGATCCCGCTAGTGGCCATTAGCCTTGAAGAGCCTCCTTTGTTGCCACTGAGCAATACAGGGGCACCCCCAGCTCTGACTTCTCCATCAGGGGTGCATCCTCAGCCACTTCTAACAGCAGAGGCAGGCCTGCCTCCTTTTGCTTGGCTCAATTCTGGCTTGGGTGCTTTATTCCTATTCCCTACCTGTTGGGAATATTCCTTCCCCATTTGGTAACACGAAGGCCTCTCCTATTGCTGGCCTTACGTGTTATCTGTGTACATATGCTGCGTGGGAGACTGGCCAGCCAGCAATGGGTGCCGCATGTACAAAGCACTGCTGCGGCAGCAGATCTGGCTCCTCTTCCTCCTTGAGAAACCCTGTGCAAGGCACTTGGGTCAAACCTCTTTCAAGCTTGGGTGCCTCAGCAAGCTCTGCTGCATGCGGTGGGTGCCCAGCACGTTGGCCGCCAGGTCAGTGACGAAGGGGCCTGACCTCGGAGTTGGGCGCTTGGGTGAGAACGGCGTGTTCCAGGCCTCGGTCACCTCTGTGCCGGGAGAACAATGACACTTCCCTACCTCACAGGGATGTCGTGAGGCTAAAGCCATTAAGGCCTGACAGAGACCAGCATACTTAACGAAATGAAATGAGGGCAGCCTCGTGGAACGATGATGCTTCTGCCTCGGCCGTGGCTGCGTGCGTGTGCCTCAAGGAAGCTGCTCCCTGGCTCAGGTCCCCCCAGCCAACACCGAACGGGCAACAGCTGGGAATTCCCTGGAGCAACATCTGACTCCAGGTTTCCCTACTACCCAGACTACAGGGATACTCTGGAGGGCTGGTGGTATGGATGAACGAACAGGAAGGTCACTAGGGATGGACTGCACCCCTACGCAGAGGGCTGGCAAGAAGCCTAGGCACCATCACAGCCCATGGGGGATTTTAATTTATATCAGTGAAAAGGGGATGCCGGGGGCCGTCTGAGCTACCCCGGGGCCTTACCTTTCACAGCCAAGGTGACCGCGCCAATGACCATGATGAGAGTCTGCAGCGCATCGGTGTAGATGACAGCCGCCAGGCCACCTGCGCGAGAGAACCAGGCACAGCGTCAGGGTCTCGGTCAGGATTGGGCCAGGGATGGGGTTTGCGGTAACTGCACAATAAAGCTAATGGTTCTTATGGAGATGTGTCTGTGGGTTATTGCCCTGCAGCCCGCCACGGGCTTCCCAATGAGGACAGGGCCTGGAAAGACCTTTACTGAAGGAAAACAGGAGGACCAGCTCCGTTCACTTCCATGCAGCTAGGGGACCACAGGTATGAGGTGAACGGGGAGGGGAATGACTTCGAGGAACCAGAGAAGCCATGATTCAAGGTGGCGGCCTGGCTGGGCCCAGAGCGCAGGGCACAAGGTCACTGGACTTCCATGCACAAGGCAGGGGCAGCACCAAGCCCAGTCATCAGCACCGGGCAGAGGTCTCCAGCCTTCAGTACACGGGGTCAGAAGGCAGGAGGAGAGACTCGCAGGGGCACAGTAGAGTCACGTGCTTCAGAGAGAGCCTGGCTGCTTCCCTTCAGCCAGCAAAGCAGGAGCTTTTTGCTGGGCTTGTGGTTGGATTCGATGATCTCAAGGTCCTTTTCAACCCTAAGACTCCACGTTAAGCCCTTCTTTCTTTGCGCCATTTTAAGATATTCCAGCAGATGGGCTCCTCCCACATCCCCTTGCTCACCCTCTTCCAGCCCAAATGCTTATGTTACCAAGCCATTTATTTCCTTCCTCTAATTAACATCACCCCATTGTCCCGTCTCTCCCCCTCGGGCTTCCTTGGGCAATTCCTCACCCTCCCTGAAGCTTATACCCACCCCAACCTTACCCATTCAACAGGGCCCCTATTAGTCACATAATTGAGTTGAGCCCTTGTCAATTCAGCCCTTTCATCCCCTCTTTGCCAACCAGTCCTTCTTCATCCTTGTTGTTGATGCAAGACAGCTCACCTTGTGACAGCAGAGTTATTCAGCTCATGGAAAACAAGGGCTTAAAAAGGAGCTGAGCCATAAAGAAAATGGTTCAACATATGAACCGACTGCAACCCGGGCAAGTGACTCACAGCCAGGTCCTTCTGGGTTTCAGACAATCGGCAACATCCGATTTGATGACCTGGTTTTTTAGAAATGTTCTCATGGTTCCATGAGTCAGGGGCCGCACCCAGTCCCTGAACCCTACGTAAAATTCCCGGCACCACCATGTGCTTTGTAGGCAGGGGAAAAAATGCAAGTGATTTGCTTGAGACTAGAGTCACAGAATCCACCACAGCTTGGAGGTACCAAAAGGGCGCATCGGTCTGACTGGCGGGGGACGGTCCCAGGCCAAACCGTGCACTGGGTGCACCCATGGGAGCTGACGAAGAAGGGAATATGCCACTGATGGCAATAACTGAGAGGCCGACAAAGGGTCCAAGCATGGGACTGAGAACAAGGAAGATACAAACCCTAATCCCAGGTCTGAACCCAACACCTCCACACTCCATGAATCATCGGAAAAACAACTGTAGTGGCTCCATCAACAAAACAAATAATTCAACTTATTCCTGATCTTGCTGAGATGAGTTTCTGAGGATGAACTGGTTAACATTGGTGAAGAGCTCTGCAGACAAAGATCATTAAGGACTATCATAAACAGGGCAGTTGATGGGGAAGTGTGTTAGCTGAGGTCCCTGGGATAAGCTGCGAGACCCTGTTACGAACCAAAACCATGATGGTTTTGTGCGCACATGGGGATGCACATGTATAACTGGGGCTGGTCCTGCTTTGAGCAGGGGGTTGGACTAGATGACCTCCTGAGGTCCCTTCCAGCCCTCATTTTCTATGATTCTATGGGAGAGGGACATTAAAGCACACACTGGAGAGAGAATGAGCTGCCAGAAGTTAAGAGCCCCATCGTGCGGTCTTCACACAAGCACTCCAGTTGACCAGGTTCATAAGTATGACCACAAGATACAAGGGGGCCAAAATGCAGCTCACTTTCTGCTCTGCACCAGCCTTCCCTCTCTCCCCCAGCCACCGAGCAACGCACCTGCAATGGTGTAGAGAGCCGTGACCACCAGCATCAGGACGGTGGAAAGGTAGAGGTTCCAGCCCAGGCAGACTTGCACAAACAGGGCCCCAGAGTACAGGTCAGTCTGCATGAAACAAAACAGAGAAGTGTCTGAATGAGGCTCTATGAGGGTGCTGGGCAGTGCATGGGGACAGGGCTAGAGGCTGTACTTCCCTTTATCCTATGAATAGGGGTAGTGGGGAACAGCCAAACCAGAGCAAATATGAGCATGGCAACTTCTTCCCTGTGCTGCAGTGCACCTGATGTGCCTGCAATAAGCCAAAGATGCCAGCTGATAGCACGGCTGATGTTCATCCCGTCAGAGGACTAGGAGAAGGGAGCTCTAATGGCCATTCACCATGCTGGACCCTGAGGGGGGATAAGCAGGAAGAAAACTCAGGGCTGCTAACCCAAATGTTTCTTGCTGTCCTAAGAGAGGGGTGAAGGACCTACAGAGCAGGGCCTAAGTTCAACAGGTCCCATCAGCTGGTGCTTCAAGGAGGGGGGGCACTTGGCACAGCAGATGGGGTGGAAGTCATTGATTTCCAGTCACGCTGAGCTGCGGACATGTCATGCCCTTGCACAGACCCAGAGCTCTGGGAGCAGAACAACAGCTCACCCAACACCTAAGAAAAAAGCCAAAGGGCAGCGCAGGGCCGTCCTGAGCACGAAGACGCAGCTGGGCCTCTGTTTTACCAGCTCAGCACACCCGCTTGCCATCTTTCCACGCCGCCCCAGCCCCCAAGGCACACGTGAGCAATGCAGTAATGTAGAAAGGGGTGGGTGCTGGCGGCACTCTGCCTGTTACTTGACTAGATTTGTTCTTTTGGCACCCACATCACCTTTGAAAGGGCTGCCAAGATGCCACTCCTTGCCAGGTGCTGCCAAACGCTTCTGAGCTCCGGGCTGTCCGTGTCGGGGCAGCAGGCCATGAGCTGGAAACCTCACGTGTGCGGGAGAGTGCATGGAGGTGGGAGGGGATCTCAGGCAGATGGGATCCACATGAGCATTGCCTGAGCACTGCTGTAACTGCAGCTCATGGAAATGTGGTTCCTTCAAACCAGCCTGCCCAGGTAGCAGGCTAGCCATGGCACAGCTCAGCTCCCTGCCTGAGGACTTACCTAGCTGTGCATGCCACAGAGAGCACTGTGTCAAAGCAAATACACTGCTCTCAGTGCCTGAGCTGGGATGAACATGGGCTGGGGTGGGTCTAATGAGCTGCTCTCACTGCAGTGGGGATGTATCCACAGTCAGAAGGGAAGAGGGAGGGGTAGTTCATATACCTCTGTGCCAACCGCACAGGGAATCAGGCCTCAAGTCAGCCAGAGATGCCATGGGAAGACCCCCCTGACAGCCTGGATGGCAGGAGATGGTTAAGAGGGAGAGACCTTTTCCCAGCCACCCAGGGCCTGCGAGACAACGGTTAGAGCACAGTACCAGGAGTCAGGATAGCTGGGACCTACACCCGTCTCTGCTCTTGGCTTCCAGAGGACTGCTCTGCCCAAGGTTGACAACAGGAAAGCAAGGGCAACAAATGTTGGCTCCCTGCCCTCCCGAAGTGCTGAGATGGGAGGAAAGCACTAAGTAGAGTAACTAACACCCCACACGCTGGCTCTATCACCCACCCCAGGAGCTCAGCACGAGGACACCCCAGAGTTCGGCATCTTCCTACACGGTCACACCTGGCTTGGTCTGGGCGATGGAGATGCGAGCTAGGCCAGTGATGGCAAGGGGAGCGGGTTCCACCGGCCTTCACCTCCAAGTGCTGATGCTTCCTCTCTGCCCGCAGCTGCCCAGGCTCGATACCGCCCAACCAATCAGCTCCACTTGACATCATCTTCCCTTCACCTCGCTGGAACGCTTCCCCCAAACAAAGCATCAAGCGTAGTCACGTGGGAACTGTCACCTGGTAGTAGCGTTGGGAGGATGAAAGCACCCTTACCCCGTGGCAGCTCACTCCACATTCGGCCCTGGAGGAATATGGGTGACCTACTTCTGGATCAGTCTGGCACAGGTTTGGTACCAGGGAGGCAATGGAGGTGATCACCACCCAGCCCTCTGTGAAGCTCTAATGGGAACTGGTCTACTTTCCCTGCGGCCTGAGAACAAACAGAAAACTGATAAACCTTTTAAGTGTTCCTCAGTGGCGCTGGGACTCTGAGATCCTTTCAAGGCTGCCACACTATTAGCATAGCGAGGTGTGCAAACACCTACACATGATTTAGGAGATGAACCCAGAGATTTCCAACAGGAATCCAGAGCATCCCAAACATTCAGCCCTTTCTGAGTTCTTTGCAACAGAACTGCTCAGTTATTTTTCTGTCATCAAAAAATGAGCAAAAGCAAAGAGCTGGCATTTATCAAGGGCTGCCTTGAGTGTAATGGAGGCTGTCTTGAGTCCAACAAAAGGTTGAGAACTACTGCTGAGCAGCGAGATCTGCCTCCTGTCTTCCAAAGAGCTGGTCCCAGCATTACGCCATCTGTGCTGAGCCAGGCAGGGCCCCAAGGTGTTCTTGTGCTCCCAGTACAATAAAGATGAAGGGAGCATACCAGGTTCATACTGAGCTGGGCAGGGCGTGATGCCAGCACGCCGCTGGCCCACATCATGGTTTGCTCAGAGTGGGGCATCAACATTCAATCCCAGGATGGTGCCCATGTAACTGGCGGCAAGATCTGGACCATGGCACTCCAGATAAAGGCCATGGCTCCACTACCACCCCATACCTCTGCCAGTCCAAGGGAGAGCACAGTGCCAAGACCCTCCAGGTCCCAGAACTGGGACTGGGATTTGCCCCTAATTGCACAACACTCCCGAGTGTAACGAATGACCACTTGATGACCCCAAGCCAACCTTTCCATTGGAAAGTTCCCACCAGGTGAAGATGGCCTGTTCAAAGTGGATGTTTTCACTCATGTTTCCATTAAGGTTCCTCATTTTCCTCAGCTCTGGCTGGACCAGTCCAGGACCCCCCAGTTCATTTAGACCTCGGGTGCCCTGCGGAAATTGCACGCAAGGAAGGCCGTGCAGTAGCAGCCATGCTGGTAGCATCCACAATACAGGCCTCCCTCCTCTGGGAACACAACTCAAGTGACAGCTTTGCTCCAGCCCACAGCACTGATGGGACAGGCTCTGTCCTCTACCACCATCTGCTCCCAGCTCCTCAGCGGGGCAACAGCTTCCACCAACGGTGATCCTATCGCAACATCGGGCCAAGAGGATGAAAGGAGCAGCCTTGTTCTTTAGGACACCTGATGCCACTTCAGTTCTTTATTACTTTGCAGGCCAACAACCCAGCAAGCTCTCACTGTGCTCCCCCATCTACACCCCAGCCCATCTGGCAGAGCCCAGCTCCCAAGATCCTGTTTCCAAATTGCTCCTCTTGGGTTTCTTAATGCTTTTTTTTTTTTGCAGCTATGTGCAAGTGATCCTAATCCCTCTCTAGGAGGAAGCTATGGCCTCACTGCCTGCCTTTCTGCTAATTTTGCTTGGGTGGAGGAGAGAAAAAAGCAGGAGCATGTGATTGACTCGTTCATAAGATGTCCCTAATACAAAAACAAGCTAATTAAAAGGCATGACCCACTCGTGAAGCAAGTCATTTCAGTCATAAAAGGAGGGCAAAAGCCTTTGAAGTCAGGCCCATTGGTGCTGTCAGGAGGATTGCTATTCCCTGCCTCTGAGTGACCTCATTGAGAAACCTGCTCTTCTCCGATGCCGTCAACACCTCACAAAAGACACAAAGGGCCTTTGCAGGGTTTGAATTTCACAGCTTTAGCCCTATGGCACTGGCAAAGCCAGGGCAGCAATAGATGAATTAGCTGTGAGATGGAGGAATTTGTTAGAGAGAGCTGATGCTCTTGACGTGCTCACATGTGCTGCCCACCTGGTACAGGGTATACGGGTCTTTTTAAGAGCTCCCATCTCGCCTTTAAAGGGGGCAACACATCGGAGACAGCTCATTTGGAGCCCCTGCTGTATGCTGATACACTACGTGGATAGCAGGGTCTAAGTCCACCTTCAGCACTGTAGTCCAAGCTCACGCAGAAGCCAAGAGAGCAAGCCCCGGATGGTGAAGCAGCCTCCATACACCTCTGACGGGAACTGGCCACTTGAATGAACCAGCGTGTGGCAGGCTGAAGAGGAACAAGGGGCTATCTTTTCTAGAAAGATGAAGGAGCAAGAAACACTGTTAATTAGCTTAAGGGAATGGAGATTTGAGACCAACGTGGCAACTCCAAGGATACCACGTAGGGAAAAAAAAAAAAAATGAAGAACTAGCGACCCTCGCGCTTCAGAGCAATCCTAGCAAGGGACAGGGTGATGTTTCCACCATGGGGTGGTAACACCCTGGTGAGTGCATTGCTGGTTTCACAACGCTGCCTCTCAAGGCCCCAGCCATGGGGATTTGGTGACACAAGACTGAATCAGTTTATCTTGGGGCAGCTCTGCCTCTCTACACACAAATATTCATCCCAGCTCATCACAACAGCTATAGCATCCAAATCCACCCTGAATAGGGCTAGATGCCAGTGTAATCTCCCCGATGAATCCGGTTTCTGGATTCTGCGTGACTCAGAGACTGGGGAAATTCAGCAAAGCAAAGAAGCTGTCACTTTAGCAGAGAAAAGGCACAGGGTGGGCCATGTAGGGAGTGTCTCTCGGTTTCAAGCACTGAGCCCAGGTGAACAGAAAAACACCAGAAGAATAGGCAAGTATTTGGGGCATGTGGCTGTGATCTTTGCAAGGCAGGAAAAATCCAGCCAATGCAATTAAGGTGCAAAGTTCATAATCTTTGGGGTTCTCAGGCTGGGGATGTTCAGAAGGTGAGGCGAGATGATCACACCAGTTCCCTTCTGCCCTTCAAAACCAGGAATAAGTAGCAGGACAACAGCTGCTTGGAGCTGTGCACAGCAGGTGTGTGATCCATGCCCAAGGGAAACCTAGCCTCAATATGCGGCAACCTGCTCCATTATGATGGGCGAGATGGCCCCAGAAGAGAGGACAGCTGGGACAACTTGGAGAGAGACTCCATATTGCACAGCCCCCACATGGACCAAGATGTGCCAGGACTGAGAACGGCAAGCCAG